GAAGGGGTCAAAGAAGTCGAAATGGTGGCTGTGACCATGCAGTTGAAACCTCTCCTTTTTTTTAACATGGCAAGAGGCTTTCTCCTGGCAACCCTTCCAAACAAGCCATACTTATTCAGTCTTTTTCTAAGTGTATTGTCATGAACTTTAACATTTAACATGTTAATTGAGGCCTGTACAGTCTGAGATGTAACTCTTAGATTGTTTGCAATTTCTCTGAGCATTGCATGGTCTGACCTTGGGGTGAATTTGCTGGGACATCCACTCCTGGGAAAATTGGCAACTGTCTTGAATGTTTTCCACTTGTGAATAATCTTCCTCACTGTAGAATGGACTTTAAATTGCTTGGAAATGGCCTTATAACCCTTCCCAGATTGAAGGACAGCAACATTTGCTTCTCTAAGTTCATTGCTGATGTCTTTACTCTTTGGCATTGTGTAAACACACACCTCAATGCTCAAGACCAGCAAACTTCTAAAAACTTCGGCTTTTATAGAGGTAGTCACCCTTGCTGATAATCAAGAGCATTTGATTAGCAGCACCTGGCTGCCACTTAGCCTCTTCATACCTATGGAAGCAGTGTACTTAGTTTTTCACACATGGCTTTTCCATTTTGGCTTTCTTTTTGTAAAATAAATGATTACATGGTGTAATATGTCATGTGTTGTTGTTCATCTGAGGTTGTATTTACCTACTTTTGAGAACTGCTAAGGACCAGATGATTTTTATTAAGTCCTGATACGTAAAACCATAGAACTCAAAGGGGGTTGTATTTACCTACTTTTGAGAACTGCTAAGGACCAGATGATTTTTATTAAGTCCTGATACGTAAAACCATAGAACTCAAAGGGGGTGTACTTTCTTTTTCACACGACTGTATTTTGCAACAAGCTAAGAAAAGAAGTAAAGACCTCTGCTCCAGATGGTCACAATAGACTCTCAGAGTTCAACTTATGAGGCCAGTTGATCTTCACAACAGCCATATTTTTCTATGAAGGGTTAAACATGAAATATCATATATAAAAATGCAGAAACCACCCAAATTATAATGAGGGGTCTGAGTACAAGAGTCAAAGAAGTGGCTTCTTTAGATTGTCCTTAGTGGTCTTCTACTGATAACATTCAACCTGCTTAACTATAGCACCGCAACTTGTATGGGCCACTGAGGTTCTAGATAATATTCTCCAGCATCTCTGCATTTTTTAAAATTATTTTTAAATCTACTTCATAGGACCCTCTAGTGAAAGGGCCATTTCCACTACCTGCAAAAGGCCATTTGATGCTGAAGCAAGAACTTCCAATTCCAGCTGTCTTCCTCCTTCATATTTGTGCAAAGCCCCTCTCTGCTCCTAGCCAGGTAGGTGCTCTGTCATGCCAGTTGCTTGCAAACACAGAAAGTTTTATAAGGTGCAAACCAAGTGACTTTGTTTCCGAGCCTGACTTCACTCTGGAGTTAGGAGAGGCTGAAAGATTCTTGACATTCTTTCAGTGACTCCCACAGTTCTTTTATTGTCCTTTATCAGCACTCTCTGATCCAAAGAAGGTTTTAACACTGCTGTGCACCAGATGCTGCTTATCTTCTTTTTTCACTGGCAAATATACCCTTTTACAGGACCTGTAAAAACTATCAAGGTTAGAAGGGAAAGAAACAGCTTTCCAGCCAAAGTGAAAGCATGGCCTATAAAGCAACTGTGAAGAACTTTTGTCCATCTGCATATTGAACTACAGGTCTCTGGTTTTCTCACCACTGGCAGTGCTTGCTGTATAACAGTATATGCAGGATTACAGGTTTCTGTCCTTGCTCTAAGACGTAAACGGTGCCCAGGATAGACTGGAGCATCTGTGTTTCCTAGGCCTAGAAGACAAGCAGGTCTTAGAAAATAAGGACATCAAGTTTGCACTAAAAGAGCTGAATTCCCCAAGATGCTTTTAATTTGAAAAGAAAAATCTGGTTCTTCCTCACTCTTATCAGATGGTTTGCTGGAGTTGGAGGAAAGGGAAATTGACATGGACATTACATCATGAGTTGTGTCCTTCCAAATGGATACAGATTCACTTTGTGTGTTCTGAGAATCTTGTGCTCTGGCTTCATGAGAGAAGAACAGCTTGCTCTGCATATTGCTCCAGATTTTCTCTGGCACAGTCCTATGTACACATGCTTGGGAGTTGGAATCAAATCAGAATCAACATATCTAGGGTTGCCCTTTTGAAGTAGCAAATTCACCAAAGCAGATTTTATTACGTTAGACCGTTTGGCTAATCTTCATTCATCTTCTCCTGCTTTCATAATCTCTGGTGCCTAAGCAAGGTCTACCAACTAGTAGATCCTGATAAGAAGCAAAGAGAGCAGATTTTTTAAAATTAATTTTTATTTTATTTTATTTTATTTTATTTTATTGCTTCTGTGTTAGATGTGAACAATGTGTAAGGCTGTGTTGGGTTTTTCTTACAGGTTGAGCTTTTGCCATGTTCCAAGCACTTAGAAAAGTTCAAGAATTTGACAAAAAGTGTTCTAAGATCTTTTCCTTAATGGAAATTATGTGCAGCAAAGAGTCCCTGATAGTAAAAGGCATTCTTCTAGAGTACACACTGTCTTACCCAACTAAAGATTAGCTCACTACCCAGCTTTGAGATTGGGAAACTGCAACCATGATTCACAATCACAAGACACCACATATTTGTGCTCATCTTGATTCTGCTTGTAGTATGCCTAATTTGCAGGAGGTAGAAGGGGTTACAAAGGGATGTGGGTAGCAACTGCAAGAGCAATCCTCACTATAGGCATTTTTCAAGTTGCTGCATTATTTGTCAACTCCTCAAACTTCTTAAAAGGTGTTGGAGAAAGTTGCTAAGGAGAAAGCTTGTAGTCTCCAGGTACGCGAGATGATACTCCAAGTCTGGGCTTCTTTATTGCACATGAATCTGTGAACGCAATAATTCTAACATTCCATTTAATCAACTCAAAATGCTACTTTGAAAGAAAGTATTCGAGCAAAGTTCAAAGCCTGTATTTTTCTGGTTAGTCGGCCATCCCTCAAGGCTTTGTTAGTTGGGTGGACTGATGTGTTATCGACTCCCCCAAACCTAAAATGAATCAATTCACACATTACATCACCCAAACTGAATCTTAGCTCAAGCTTTCCGTGCATGCAGCATTCAATCCAAGTGATTCTGTCTTGTCAGGTGAATGGGGTTCGCTTCATTGGTCTCATGAAGGGGCAAGTTCTGATAACATGGGATGACAGCTGTGTGAATTCAAAGTAGGTAATTTTCAAGAAATCCATCATTGTTTTCCATGTTATTCATTTTTGAGATTAAAACTTCACTAATTTAATAGCTATTTTTAATTTTACATGCTGTAATAGTTCTCTGTTGGAAAGCAACTAACTGGAATATTTCTTCCCCATCATACCTCTACCCTCCAGTATAGTTATATAAGACTACAGAAACCTGGGACTGATGAATACTTTCCATCTCACCTTGACTTGCATCTGTAGCACTAAACAATTTGAATCATATAATATAGGAAGTGCCTTATGCTACTTGGGACATTTGCAGGAAAGAGTTGAAATCTGTGCCTCCATCATATTTTCACCAATAATCCTTTTATTAGAAGCAAGGCCTCCTTCACAAGTGAAAGAGAAAAAGGGTGAGAGCAGAATCTCTCGTAAGAAAACTACTAGAGAAATGGCCTTGAGAAAGTTTAATCTGCTCCCATTTTCCAACAAAATTGATCAGTAGCTTTAATGCCCAACATATATTTATTAACTTCAAAGGCAGCTCTTTGTCCAGTGCATAAGACTGAATCGTTTTTGGAGGGAATGTGGTACTACGCAGAGTCCTATTCATGCAATGACATGCTTGGCCATTGGACTTCATATTGCTTTAAAAAGGGTTTGAGAAAATACGTTCAAATCCTCTAGACTTTTCCTGGAAACTCCTTTATCTTGCAGAAGAATAAAAGTAACACTGTGACCCTTGTGATATATTTTCACACAGATGTTTGAAAAAATTTGAAGTGATGTTTTCAGCGGATGGGGAAAAGTATCAGCAAATCAGTGTCAAGGACAGCATATTTACAATGTTAATCTACAGCCCAGGTAAAACCCACTTTCTGCATTTTTAAAGATATAGCCAGTGCAACTTCAGTTTAAAACCCTTAAGCATGCCCTCAGGTTTTTGTTGGAAACTCTAATTATTATTAAAACTATTTACATTATTTATTATTAACACTATATTTCTTATTAGAACTATAGCCATTATTATAACCTTACTAGTTTTGGAAGGAAAGCTTTAACTTTAAGCCTTTAAAAGGACTAAGATCTTTTTCTAAATCAGGAAAATAGGGGGAAATAGTTTCTTTTCAAAAAGTGTCTTTAAGTTCTTCCCTAAAATTCTATTGCTGGATTATTGGTGTAAGCATTCCTCGGGTTCTTATTTAGTGAAACATATAATGACACCTTCATTTCCAAAGAACACACATAATGTTTTGAAGCCTCCATAGGCAGTTTGTAGAATGGAACATTTTTAAAGGGGGAAATTGAAGCAAGATACTGGACACATACAAAGAGCATACCTTCTTTTAAGTGCTTTATGCTAAATCTAAATTGATTTTTGAATTGAAGGGAGGATTTAATAAACATTCCGTTTTCCTCATATTTTAATGCAAAAAAATGATTTAAAAAAATGAATGGATTGACATACTGATTTCAGGAATTGTCAACACAAGTTAAGACTTGCAATTTCAGTTATAATTGAATATTTTTAATGTGGATTGAAATTAAATGGTCAATCACAGTTGTATTTCTAGAAATATTTCAGCCTGCTAGGCCAATTTAGGAATAACTCATAAGGGAATTAAAAATTCACAATTCCTATATTTGTTGGGCTTTCTTTACAGGAACAACGGTCATGGGCTATTACAAAGTGCGTGCTGTGGATTATTGGGACAGGCCAGGTCTGTTTTCTATCCCTGTGTTCTATAGAGAACCATCTTAGAAAGAAGCAAAAATGCCCACCAGAAGTTATGTACTTAAAACTGCAAGTTTCAGGGAGCTTTTTATTACAGGCCTAACCCTTAAAAGGATGGTTCTCATGTCCTTGACAACATTCTTCTCCCTTCTTTGGTTCAGTTTTCTGTTCTTCCTACACCAACAATATGGAGAGATTCTTCTCTCCCAGAACATCTTTAAGCACTCTTTTGGAATCACACCCAAGAAATGATGAGAACAAAGTAGAGTATTGCTGAACTCCATTTTCTTGCCTAGATTGCTATAGTTGGCAACAAGCCAGTCCAATTATTACCTGGAGTGAAATAATGATAATTTCAAGCAGTAGAATCTGGGTTGCATGAAAACAAGGTGGATTTGTTAATCTTTCCTTAAAGCTATGTATGTAAGTGTGCACCATTTAAATTTCCAGCCATAATATCATATTCATAGAAAACCAACCTCAGAATGAGCACTCATCCCCACAACTCCGGTGCAGCTCAAAGAAGGTCCCATTCTAGAAGCACTGAGCTTCTTCCTGAGCCTCGGAATAAGGAAGCTTCACCCGCCTCAGTCCACTTCATTCTTTTCTTCAAACTTTGTGTCATCCAAATACATCACACGCTCCCTTTTTTGTGGTATCAGGAAGGAGGGCCTCCCCCATTCTTAAGTCCATCAAAGTTTCTCAGCACACCTCGACCTTTGCAGAGAGTGGAAGGCAGCAGAAATGATGAATAGCCCAGCTGAATACTTGTGTAAGGAGAAACTTCCCTGTGAAGCTTGCATTAAACAAGGGCAATTTTAGCACAGGGATTGTATTTTCAATAAATATTTATTTGCACGACAAAGAGTTTACTTAGAGGTGGGTGAGGGAACATATTCAGATTTTCCTGTCAGAATATTTAGGAATGCCTTACTAGAAAATGTGTGTCATTCTAATACACTAGTCTTAAAAGACAAACTCTCTTCTCAGTATGCTGTAACTGTTTCTTATCTTTTCTCTAATGAGCTAGAGTGCCAGGAGGGTCCACAGGATATGGTCAAAAAAGTCAAGATGGTGGCCACAACAGTGTGATCAAAGCTCCACCTGTTTTGTATGTGCATTGCAGAGCTTTGATCACACTGTAATGGCCACCATCTTGACTTTGTTGACCACACTCTGTGGACCTCCCTGGCACAGTAATGGCAACATTTTGGCTTTTTGACCACATCTTGTGGGATGTCCCTGCATTGTGTTCAGCACTGTTAGCTTTATAGTAGAGGGATCCTCAGTGAACAGAACAGAGGGTTAAAACAATGAGTAGCTCTTTGTGTTGCAACATAAGCAAGTAGAATGGTGAGAAGTTTGAGTCAGAGAATGTTCAACTCAAATTTCATCTCAGCTACAAGCTTACTAGGTTTTTTTTAGATGACCCACTTCTAAGTGTTTGTAAAGATTGCCAATTGAAGAGAGAAAAAATGAGCAAAATGACTTATCTTCTGGGTGGGAAACAAAGGATAGAGACCAGAACTGAGGGCGTCAGAGCCCGATAATTTTTTTTTTTAAGTTATCTTTGAAAAGGTTAAGAGGAATCACAGCGATGGTACAAAACTTTTTCCACCAGTCCGAACATATAAGGTCTGAATTATCAGAAATAACTTTTGCCTTCATTGGCGAAAAGGTCTTTTATTTTGACTGTAGGAATTCAAATGTTCAGCTTTGATGCTAAATGTAAATTTTACATAAATAAAGATTTTCTATAAAAATAAAGTTGCACATACATTTATATGAGAGCGATTGGTGATCCACGTAGCCTGGAAACGTTTTAGTCAAGCGAACGTTACATCATCTAATTCCATTTCAAGCATGCTTACTATACACATAGTTCCAACCTGTTCCTACAGTGACAAGTATACAATTCTTGTTTGGCATTTTACATCTGCATCATCGTGAAATGGTCAAGAAAGCGTTACCGTGAAGTGAAAGTTTCTGTACAACCACTAATTGTTCACAGGAGTGCAGTCCTTTCCATGGCTTCTCAGGCAGCCTCAGAATGAGTTCCATAGGTGAATATGAAATCAGTACTGGTTTGCATATCTGAAATGGTCATCACCGGTCACGTAAGCGCCCCCCTAAAAACCCTTCACATCCTCATATATGAGTACAAGCCCAGTATTTTTCAGTGGACAGCAGTTCATATGTTTAGGTGAGAGTCATTAAGTAATGCGTGTGAATTAACAACTCCATGAGTGTGCAACTGGCTGGCATTATGAAAGCCTACCCCAGTGAACTAGACATGTGAGTCTTTCCCTTCTCGAATATGGTGGAATTGGTGTGTTTCTCATCCTGCCCACCCATGCTATGCTAGCTATCCATAGAAAAGCTTGTGATTATTATGACTATTATAATATTATGTAAAGGTCTCTCCTAAAGCCAAGGTTGCAAATCTAAGTAGAAAGGAAGAAAAAGGAAAGGATCACAAGGTTTATTCATTGAAATGAATTCTTATCTTTATTCATTCAAATGCTTATTCTTGCATATTTATAAATTAAATTGCAGCATTATAAGGACAATTGTGACCATTTTTTCCATAACTTCCAAGATACTACCAATAGGAATTGAAGAAATTGTTCCAAGGAAGGGAAGGAGGAGCTGCCTAACCTAAATGATACTTGTACTCTGGCGTCATCCATAAACTACATCCTGCATCTGTAGGAGGTGAAATGGTTAATTTTGGAACAACTGAGGGATTTGGAAATGATTATAAGGAAGGTATGCTTTTGTTTTAAGGATCTTTAAGCACAGGCTGATTAATGGATGCAATGCCCTTTTGACCAACATCAAAAAAAACCCCTAGCTCAAGCTTAGAAAATAAATGTAGTTGAGTATAATTTTCTGATAGACTAGACCAGTGTTTCTGAACCTTGGCTGCTTTAAGTTGTGTGGACTTCTACTCCTGGAATTCCCCAGCAGTTCTGGCAGTTGAAGACCACACAGCTTAAAGCCGCCAAGGTTGAGAAACACTGGTCTGGTATATGATTGCCAGCTCTGAATCCTACTAAGAAATTTGGGATGAGCCAGGAGACCAGACAGTTTGCTAAACTATTAGACAAGGGCAATAAGGGGTAAAGCTGAAGCAAGGGCAATAAGGGGTAAAGCTGAAGCCAGGGTTGAAGAACCACCCAGAGCTCAGGAAAACCTCATCTGTTGAATAAAAAATGCAAACAGAATAGAAAGCCACATTGTTCTCTTGGTAGGCAGATACAATGCATGGCCTGCAGGATCTTCACTGAGAAATTTCAATTCTATAATTCTCCACATGGGACAGTCACACACAGGTCTAGCAGATGCTGGCAACAGTTTATTAGAGATTGTCCACTTTGGATAGAATCACACAAAGAATAGTGGAGGCCCCATAAGAAGTCTCTCTTTGTAACATCAAGGTCAGTTTATTCTGTGAACTACAATTTTTAAATGGTTTGTCCCCCCCATACATACTCTTGTGTATCACTGATGCTTCAATATATAAAGTAATCAGTCAAGAGATGAAATGAACACAGGGCAGGGAGAACTTGGCATAGGATTTTGAGAAAGTTTGCATGAAGAAAATTACATCCATGAGGCCTGTATCTCTTGCTGAAGGATTCAGCACCATAACAGAAATGAACACTGCCCAAGAAAGATTAATTAAAATTAAAAGGTTATTTTAAAATACCTATTTTTTTCTTTTTTAAACCAATGCATCAGTTTGGTTCTTAAGAGTTCATTCAAGAAATGATATGCTGCACCCTTGTGCCAAATTTGTTAAAAAATCCAAATACTGGAAGCCAGCACTTAAATGTGCTTTGAAAAAAAAAACTGATTCAAAGAATTTGTGAGGTACATGTTTGAGATGTAGAAATGAGGCCTTTGCTCCACCTCTGGACTGGAGGAATTTTGGTTTAACAAGCTCCTGTGGAGACAAACAAACACCCTTTAATGCCCATAATGTTGTAACAAAAAGTTGCTCAGAACATTTATTTACTCATTTCTATACTGGCAATTCCACAAGGAATTTCTCTAACTAAAGGAAAATCAATCAATACTAGAGCTGGGGTTCAGTCCATAAAATTAACTGGCAATAGTACAGCTTTAATCATGAGGCAGATTTAATTTAAGGGATTCATTACTAAAAAAAAATGACTGCAATCTCTAGCTTGAGACAGCTTTTAAAAAGCTTAAGGAAATTCATAATCATGGTTGAACCAACTGCAGAAGGCTCTTGTATACGTAGTCTTCCCAGAAGCATTTTTGGCATCCGTTGTTGGATACCTTGGCTGGATTAATTCATTGCACTATGGTGTAGTTTGTTTAACCATCATTTATTAAACTACAGTTTGTTGGATCCTACTATAGTTTACAAAATGCTTCAGCTGGGTTCACACAACATGCTAAGCCAAGCCAATTAAACAACATTATGGTTTAGTGCAATGTATGAACCAGATGGACTGATCCTGCACTGGGAATTCTCATGATTTGAGTCTGAGGCCAGAGCCAGAACTGCCTAGACTGAAACAGCTTTCCCACATTCTTCCTTTCCATAGACAATACCAAGTCTACTTTCTGGTTAGTCAGTGAGTGACTCATGACCCACAGAAGTCAAATTCATGATTTGTCCAAAGGTGCCTGGAGCAACGTGGCCTTTCCACATACCTGACTGTAGTACAGCCTGGAACTGGCCAGACATGCAGATTTCTTCCTGCTTCTGGCGCACAATTTGCTGAATGGCAGGGGGAAGACCCCGAGGGTTGCGGGAGAAAACAAGGGCATAGCCATCATCACAGGACCCATCCTCCTTCAGTGTGCGGCAGGCATAGGTGATGGCATAATTATCATAATCTGTGTCGATCACCCAGTAATTGTCACCTGGAATATCAAATCTAGTGTAGGTAATGAGTTCTGATACCACTGATGGTGTCATTATTAATTAATGTGCACAATGTCTTTCCTGCATGTTGTTCATACACAAAAAATAGTCCAGAACTTTGAAAAAAAAACCCTGAGAATGTAGAACATAGACCTTAAAGTTGTATTCACAGGACAAGAAGAACAGCTGAACATCCAGACTTGTCATTATAGACATTGTCAATATCTTAATGTCTCCAAGTTATGGCTCATCTTCCTTAACAAAGATGGAAGGCAACAAAAAGGAGGGAGGATAAAAAAGCAGAATGACAGGATTTTTTCTTGCCAGCAGGTATAACAGTGTAGGTTTTCCCACCACTACTGTTTTTCAAGTAATGATGCCCACCGTTTGAAATACCCTCTAAAGGAGATCTTCCTGGCCCCATCACCAAGTTCCATTCTTAGTGGATTGTGTGACTTTGTTTAGAATTTAAATTGAATTCATTTTAGAATGCTCTGCTAGTATTACTGGGAGGGGCTGGAGGGTTTTTAGAATTAGGATAAATGTTTTCATTCCTACTGAAGCCATCTTGAATATTTTTTAATAAAACAGTGAGTCATACAATCAACAATAAATAGATACATATTTATGTTTTATATTTTATGTTATTTATGTATATTATACATACATATATGCATACATAGGACTTCACTTCTAAGATAATGTCAGAAAGGCTGCAAACACTCAACAGAATATAATTTTGGATTTTAACCACTATTTCAGAAGTATAAAACATTCTGAATTTCTAGGATAACATAGATGCATGACACATAATTCTTCTCAACATTCTCGGCCATAATCTTACAGGAGAAGCAAAAATGGTTGGAAACAGACAGAGTAGAGGTGCCTAATATTATGCACAGTATGGTGGAAGTAGGTAGAAGTTTCTCTCTCTCATAATAAGAATCTGGAGTCACCTAATGAAACTAGCGAGAGATTCCCATTTTCTTCTATACAGCACCTAATTAAACTATGGAATTCTCTACCAGAAGATGAAATAATGGCCATTAAAGGTAAGATATATAAATGGCAGATAATGCAATCAGTGGACCATATATTTATTCCATTATCAGAATTGAGAAACAGTGGGATAGATTATAGAAAGAAGAGAGTCATGATGTAACTTTGGGGAAAGAGGTAAATTTATAATTGTACTTATAACTGCTGTAAAGAAGATCAGAAGCCACTTCTTTGTAGCTTTTTTTCTTTCTATTTTTCTTTTTCTTCTTTCTTGCCCTTTTAGCTTTCTGATTGGTTTCTTTCTTTTTCCTTTTTCTTCCTTCCTTTATATTAGTTTGCCTTCGTTTTTACATTCGTTCTTAAACCTTCTAATCCAATTATAAGAAAAAAGAGACAGAAAGAATACCAGTTGAAGAATTGATGTTGTGCTCATGCCCTGCTTAAAAACTGACCTCCACTTGACAAATACTCCATTTGACAAATAAATTACTCCACAGTAATTTAAAAATTACTGACCTCCACTTGACAAATAGCTTGCCAAACCTTGGTAATTCATGAACATCTTGGCTGGTGTGGTGGGGTCCGGCACCGAGTATTGAGCAGCCATATCGGCACAAATCAGCCAGAATCTGAAACACATGTTAAAATGAATTTTAAAATTTTAGTGTGCAGCTAACATTCTGCTCTTTTGCCTGGAGTATAGTCTGCTTACATCCTGTTCTGGTTTCAAGACAGTATTGTTTATTAACAGCACAGCTCCAAGCTCAGCCAAGCCATGCCAAGGGCCATCAGCTGGTCTCGCATCTGCCCTGCATTACTTCCTGGTTTTTGTTCATGGGCAACAAAATACAGCCTAGGGTCTGCATTTGCACAACCATGCAACATTTGGTAGCTTTTAAACTCGGTTGGGTTTTTTGTGGCTTGGTACGATGCATAACTCCAAGTCATTCTGTGACTTTCCAGATTGCTATACGGTGTAAATGCAGGAATCACGCTCAAGTGAAAATCCCTGCTTCCCACACTTATGGCTTTTATTCACATGCATTTCAGTCCTCAGTGCTTACAGAACAGGCTTGGGGGAGACATTCAGCTCTTCTCCCTCTCCCTCCCTTATAAACTCACTCGGTCAAGCCTTGGCCTCAGCTTCTGACCCATGCACGCACTGCTACGTGATATTCAAAGACATCCCTTGCAAGGATTTAAACCCTTCCATGCTCAGATCCTGCAAATAGTTACTGCATTCGTGAAGACAACAGCAGAACAACATTCCAGCTACCCTACTATATCAGTTGCAATTGAGCAGACAAAAGACATGTATCTCCTGCTGGATAATACCATTTGCCTACAAAGAGGCTATCAAATATTCAAAGGCTTCCAGTTCTAACACAACTTTACTGCCATTTCAAAGTTGCATAACAAGGTCTGAAAATATAGTACTTTTAAACAAAAAAACTAAGAAGGAAGAAAGCTTCTTGTCCATGTTGGCTTTTCCATCTTCCAGATGTTTGACTGAAGAGGATAACTTAGAACTTCAACATAATGACATAATTGCTCTGGTTGTTTTTGGCACCTTAATACTCAGTTTAAAAGAAAAAAAAAAAAAGCCTGGCCTCCATTAATCAAGAGTCTTCTGCCTGATTAATATGAGTATGTCCATAGCTGAATTTTGTTCCATTTATTAGTGACAGCGGACAACTGAATGGACACTACTAACCTCTGATGGACCATATAAACATGCATCATAATTTTCAGCCAAGGTAGGCAACTCAGTGCCCTCCATATCCTTTGGTTTACAATTCCCAACATTCTTGATGGTTAACCCTGCTGTTTAAGACTTCCATAGCCAAATCACCTGGAAGACCCCATCTTCCCCATTTGTAATCTTCACAATGCCTGAATTCACATATCATGCGCTCTAGCGTGGGTTGTTTGGCTTGGCTTTATCATGCTGGGGGAAACCAGTCGTCGTGGTTTGTGAGTCATGGGCTACATTTGTGCAAACTCAGCAAGTTCTGTTTTATTCAATGAACCACAGCTAAACAAGACAGGGCTCTCACTTAGTGACTTCCCCATCAGTAGTTACCGCACATCTTGATCACAAGAATACTGTATAAAATGAACAAGTGACTAATGATACATAGAAACACTAGCCACCCATAGGTAGCTGCAACATACCCAAAAAGCTTCATTCTGCCTTTGGAAGATGCAGTCATGGTCCCATCCTCCTCGACGGTGTATTCAGCTGAAATATTATCCTGTAGAAACAAACCTTCTGGGTCTTTCTTGGCCAGGGCATACCATTTACCTGCATACTAAAGTGCAAAAAATATTTAAGGTTACAAGGCCAGGGAATATATCTTCAGGATGACGATTAGCCAAAACACGACTTGAAGCTAAAGTATTAACTGGATCTGAAGGGGAGATGGAGCTGAACTTGTATATTGATTGCCTGTATATCCTTAATTTAAACATAAATCTTAAACTATTGCCTGTTTTGGGTACAGTGAAGCCTAGTACCATCTCCTGGAATCCTTCCAAATAATTAATAAAACCTTGATGAAAGCTACTGAAACAGCGGAATCAAATAATAATCCATTGCTTACAGTAGGAAAGTTGTAGTCATCACTGTTGTTTCTGAGGGTAAAACTAGGTAGCTATTTGCAAGATGGTACATTAAGAACATCTTTGATGTAACAGATCACTTAATAATGGAGCCAAACTCTCGGAGGAAGACAGTTCTTGTTCTTCCTCACTGGAAGCCATCTAGCAGAGTCTGAATTGGGAAATTTGTGGCCTTACAGATTTATTGAATTATGTCTCCCATCATCCCTCACTATTGGCCATATGGGTTGGGGCTGCCAAGAGTTATAATTCAGCAAGAACTGGACAGTCAGAGGTTCCCCAACCAGTCATTTATCTATGTGGGACACTCTAGCTCTGCCCCAGTGTTGGGGATTCAGTGGTCCAAGGCCCCACTCCATCTCTATGGTTCTATCCCTGCCCAGATGAGCCTCAGAGATGGCAAGCACTTCTTTGGGCTAGGAAACTAAACTAAGTCAGGCATACTTAGACCTTAAATGGGAACCACCAAGAAGTATGAGGACTGTAAAGTAGTTTGGGAAGTTAGAAAAAACAAGCAGTCAGGAGAAAGCAATGGGATGCTACTCATATTATTGTGAAGAAAACAACATGGATCTGTCTATGAAGTCAGCAAGATTAGAGCTGGACTTGAAGGAGATTTTAGGGTTTTTTATCTGCCTTGGTGATCACCCTCCTTCCTAAGTTAGCTACAGCAGGGACATGAAACAGATACAGCAGAATGTTCCCCCCACCCCATATGTAACACATGTATGTCCTTAGCCAAAATTATAAAACAAAGAGGAATAAGGTTGATTTGCAAGTAGGTTCCCAGGAGCACAGTAAGTTAAGATTTAAAACAAAGAAAAGTGACCCTCTGGTATGACTGACACATTTCAGAAACCAATTATGGTTCATGCACACTAATGACTTGCATTCAACCCACATGCTCTTTACCCTTGATATTAGAAAGTATTCAGAGTTACCCGTTTGGGGTCAAAGTTGTCCTTCACGGAGAAAGAGTCCACCATACATGAAGGTTGCCCCATGCAATCACTAATCATGAAGATCAGGGTCATCAGGAATGCGTAGTGACTGTAATTCATTCTGTAAAGCAACACAATTCAGCCCAGATTAAAAATCTGAAACACTGCCATATTCACCATAAGGTATTGTTTTTATTTACTTGGTTACTGGCGTTGATCTTCTAGTTCTTAACTAAAAAATTCTTGGCTTGCTTTGAGTTCTCAGTCAGGGCATACATTCCTAAATGTAGCCTTTGCAAGATACTGTCACAAAGCAGATAAACTGGGGAAATGAAGAGCTTTAGATCAAATCACAGAACAAGGTGAGCACTTAGCAACACAAAAGACCAAATAATTAGATTGCTCGCTCCTAACTTCACACAGCATCGTATTTTTTTTTTAAGAAAAAGAGGTGAAATAGGTCCCTTCCACACTGCTCTCCAGTTCATGCCACAGATCCTTAGAAACAGCTCCAACCTGAATCACAATTGTCCTCATCTCAGCTGACCTCAAAATTCTGAGATTCCCCACATGATCCGATTAATGATCCCTCCAGATGACCAATGGGAGAACATGAAAAAAGCACCCTGTGTGCTATTCTACCTGCTTTTGGTTGCTTGTTTGGCATTTTGTAAAACAAAAAAAAATAAAATAAATCACCTCAGTTGCTAAAACACAGGAGAGCTGTCAAAGGACCATCTCTCTGTTCACAATTTTTAAAAAGTAGTAAATGATGGGATGGGAACAACAAGGAACAACCACTGCAGCTAAGTCTCTATGGGAAATGGGAAGAGCGATGTGGGGGATTGCAGTAGAGGGCAAGGCTGTCAGGAAGGAGGGGATGCATTCCAGGAAGGGCAAGGAGACAAAAGACAACACAGTCCACAGGGGGAGCCTGGGAAGCAAAAGAGGTTCAGGATAGCCACTCCCTAGAATCTCCTGGGGTATATCCACTAGTTGCAGTAGTATAGATTTAGTCTGGCAAGATTCTGTCTATATGGTGTAATCCAGTGTTTTTTCACCCATAACGTACCACACAAATCAAACTGCGGTCTCACAACGATCTTCCCGTGATGTGGTTGGGTTTGGCGCGGTGT